TAAATAGAATGATTTTGGCCACAGGACAGCAGTTGCTAGCTACGTCCTAATTCAGGTTAAAATTCACTTTGCCAAGAAATTCAGTCAACAGTACTTGATGAGACGAGACCTGAGTCAGGACCAGTTCTCCAGTTTGCATTCCTCTCTTTATCTGCAGATCTACATGATTCATGGCATACCTGAACTAGTGTACAAGCAGGTGTACAGGCAATATGGACAATCAATGAATAAGATGCATAGGCTAACCTAACAGTATATAGACCTTCTTACAGAGAATTTCCATGTTGCTTCTCCAGTGGGTGAGCACAACTACTCTCATGATTTATTGTGCGTCTTCCGAAAGAGAAAAACAATATATCATTTCCCTGGTTTTAATAGAAATCCATTTGTGAGGCCCAATTTACCCTGAATTCATCCAGCTTTTGGTCCATAGACAATTAAAATGACTCCTCCCTTTCTCCATTACTCAGCAGATTAGAATTTAGTCTTCCTTTGCCGTTATTGAAAATGCTATTTTGCTATACTCTATTGTCTACCATAATATAATTCTCACAGAACTTTGATCTAAGAAAGTATTGAGCTATTCTCTTGCTGAAAATGAACACCCCTATCATCAACAGAAACCTTGGTAATGCATTTAAGAATCTTAATTTCAGAAAAATTCAGAAAAACATTTTAAAGTACATTTTGTCTTGAAATGAAATGAAACTGGTGAGTGGCACTCAAAAATAGGTGTATTTTTGTAATTTTAAATAAATAAGCACTGACTTTTTTGACATAAGCATAACAAAGATACAGAACAACAAAACATAACCACAGTATGAAGCAGAAGCAATAACACCATTCTGGTAAAAATGTGACACATAATCTATATGTTTGTGTTATGGATAGTTTATCCTCCGTAGCTATAAGGTGTTAACGCCTTCAGTGCTTTCATATGATGTGAGTAGTTCCAGTAAACACTGCAAATGTAACTCCAGAACTCCCAGTTGGGAGAAAAGGGGAGGTAAAACAACTTCCTGTATACTTCACTTTCTTTTTATTTATTTATTTATTTATTTATTTTCCTTGAATAGTACTGCTAAACTGTGTGGAGGGAAGACACTCAAAAAGGAAAAAAGAAAAAATATATATGCTTTGAAAATATTTACATGTGTTAACTGCTGTAATGGAAACAGAATTTATTTACAGAAAATGTACAAGATTCTATGATAAAACAAAGTGGAACAATCAACCTACTGTGTTCATAAACTATGTGTGATGATGTTATATAGAGAGATTGATAATACATATTATAATATAGGAATATAAATGTACAATATTTATATGAATAAAAGCAAAGTAATATATAAAATACATATAATAAGTAATACGAGAATTAGAAAATCAGAAAAAAAGGCCATAGTTATCATAAATGTCCAACAATCTACAATGATTTTGTGTGTTTTGCTTTCTTTAAAAGCCTGATTTTCCAAAACTGTTTGAGCATAATTTGAAGAGTACAATACAATAGCAACAGATACACTTTCAAAATTATACTTAACAGAAGTAGAAAAGAAAGCATTTGTTTCCTTAGAATACAACCACATACAGTTACATGCCCACAAAGAGAAATAACAATAAGAAGGCATTGACCTCCAGCCCCAGTTCAGGCCCAAGAGCTGTTGTTGCAAGACGACGGCAACCTGTGCCAGGCACGTAGGCAGCAGTAAGATAAAAAGTGGATACACTAGATATAACATCATCTTTGCTGTCAATGAGTGGTCATAAGTTAGGTCTCTGACCCATCCCTCTGATCTGCAGATTTGCATATACACATATGAATATACACATATATGAAATAATTTGCAATCACAGTTTTGAATATATAAAAAAAAAGCGGGATTTAATTATCAAAATGTTGACTATATCAAGTTGCAGACCCATTGAAAGTAATTAGAATTAAGTGGAGCTCCAGGTTGTAGTTCATACATACAAGCACATGAGATATAAAAGGTCTGAATTTTGATTCCTAAATTCTAATTTCTAGTCCTCATCATTTTGAATAAAAGATAGCAACTGTGAGGCAAGTGTAATAGGCTCATATAAGTAGAGAACATAACAACAAGATGTCTGAGTGTATGAACTGCCCAATTTAGTTCAATACGTGTTTTTCAGCCAAGAACAAATTTATCTGTGCAATGCTGCTAACTTCCTCCTAGTCTGCCATCTATGTTGCAATGCCAGTGGCACTCTGAAGTGATTTCACCCTTGGTAGTAAAACTGTTGCTCTTACTGGGATACAGCTGTTTGCTGGCAAATTTGGATGGAAAAAGTCTATTCCAAACATGAAGTTACATGCTAAGGCTGAGACAAGCTAGCAGCACCCTGGTAACATACACAAGAAACCACCATCCCTGATTCTCTTCTCCCTGTCTCTCCACCACCACCCAATTGCACAAACTGTCTCTTTTTCTTTGTTTAGGCTGTGATATTCACCTGATAACAGTTTTCTGATCCAGATGTAAAGTATGGTTTGGTTTGGTTTTGCTTTGTCAGTTTGTCTGTCTGCCTTGATAGATTTTTCACAAACTGCTTAATGCTAACAGTCTGAAAATGCAGCTCTCAAAAACCAATACAGCAACAGATGACATTTCTAACTGAAAAGAGTGAAAATTCAGGCACCTATTCAAATCTATGCCATGATTTATCATTAGCTAATTGAACTCCAAGATATTTAGCTACCTAAGCTGGCTTAGAGAGGTCCATTGAGCACTGAAGCCACTATAAGGAAAATGTATGGGCAGGAGGAGGGAGGAAGACACAGAAAAAAAGTGAGGAAGGCCACTGCTTTTGGTAGTGATACTTATTTAAGCCATACATACATATTCCTTAATAAAAATGAAGTACGGAAGACACATTGTGAAGAAAGAAAAAAAAGGGGGGAGAGGGAGAGGGGGTGTGGATTCCTTTCCTTTCAACTCTGAAAGTCTATTAGTGCCATTTCTGACAAAAATAGTCCTTTTGCCCCATAGGAGTGACAAGGGGACAGTTTCAGAAACATGAAAACCTTTGGTCAACAAATGGGTGGGAAAAAATTTATTTTTCAGAATCAACATTTTTTTTTCCTTTTTAACAGGGAAGAAGGCTCTAGAATAAGATTCCAAGGACCAACTTTTAATTTTATCTCACACATGGTATATTCTAATGCAAAAGTTGCATATGGCAAAAGATGTTTGAAGACAGAAAAACATTTTTAGGTCATTTGGCTCCTTCGTGTACAGCAAGAACTCTTAAACTGTGCTTTCCAATACTGCCATCATCCCACAGCTGCTGCTGAAGCTTCTGGTTAAATTAATACTATGAACGCACATCAAGCAAGAATACCAGCTGGATCCTGAAATTAATTGCTCATTCAAATGCCTGCTATCCAAAGGAAAAGGAGTCCTGAGAAGCATGTATGAATGTAAAAGTCATGTTTGAGAAAAAATTGTGTTACAATTGAACTAAAATTTTCCTAGTCAGAGCCTTCCTTTCTAGCAAGGTTTTTTCTTAGTTCCTGTTTGGATTAGGTTGGTGAACTCCCAATGGTTTATCTAGGAAAGGAGGAACCTACTCTGTTGAAATAAAATCTTTTGCTATTTATTGAATTTTCATTCTTTCTTGGAATAACACGGCAGACCAGAAGATTGCTCATACTTCTCATACCAGCAGTACTACTTTTACACACAACGGCTACGCTCCATAAGGATTCCTAAATGATCCACTTGGAGCTATTCTTAGTTTGTTTGTTATATTACTGATAACGTTTAATCACAATTGTAAAACATGCAGTTTTGATACAAAACATAACAAAAACATAAATAAGTCTAGGTACTTGATATCTGAAAAAGCTAATCATTTTATTAAAAAAAAATAAAATAATATTTTTCTTTTACAACACTAATTAGAGTCATTGTGCCCTGAAATGGTTCTAGCCTGCCAGCAACTGCGGTCGATCAGACACATAAAGAACCAAAGACTCTTGGATGAAACTCAAGAAAAGCCTTTAACTCTCCACAGACATCTGAGGCATAAAAATGTAAATGCAATCAGGACACACTCTGACCTCAGATAACTCAGGCAATTAAAGAACTCACAGACCTCAACCCACAGATACCCTCGATTTCAGCAGGACATGCAAGAACATTCTCACAACCTCACGAGTTTCAGCGATTCCTCTTTCAACTTCAAATCAATTGTGTGGGTGAGTAGCGAGTCACACAAATAATCTCAGTGACTCTTATGCGATTAGATAGATGAGCAAATTATGCATATCTGTGCAAAATCAGGTTCTTGATTTGCATGGGTTATGTGCCACAAGCAGGAAATGAATGATGAAAAAGCTTCTGAAGTCACTCTTTCACCAGCGCAACACCAGTCAGCAGGCATTACTTTCCCCAACTTGTATTGTCCACAGATTTGAAAATCTCACCCTCTGCTATTCACTTCCGCCAGTTTCACGCATCCTAAATTAGAAATTGTTTTGTTGCTCTTCATTTTGTTTTTGAAAAGGGGCCGGCCAGCAAGCAAGCAGCCTGCTTGGCTGAAGTTTCTCTGGCACAGCTGATGTGGCTGGAGTTTAGCAGCACTGTGGGCAACCCGCGAAGGAAAGTTCAACATGAAAATGCCTCTTCTCGCACATCGCTCTCAGGCCGAGGGAGGCGAAGGGGGCACAGAGGCACCGGAGGGGTCAGGGCTGTGTGTGTGTGGGGAGCCCCTCCGGGGGTGCAGCACGAGCAGAGTCGCCAAAAATAAACGAGGAAAGAAAGAAACAGAAAGTAAAGACAGAAAATAAATCAAGCAGCTCGCTGTGTACTTTATTTATGAGGTTCCACAGGCAAGGAGAGCCTGCAGCAGCCGGGGGAAGAAGGGGGCCGGGCGCTGGGGAAGGCCCCGAGCAGGCGCTGGCCGCCCCCCGCAGGCTCCCCGCGGCCTGCCCGAGCCCCGCGGCGCGGAGCGGAGCGGCCGAGCCCAGGGGCGGGGAAGGGAACGAAGGGAAAGGAAAAGAAGGGAAGAAGGGGCCTGGCCGCCCCGGCCGGGGCAAGCGAGGAGGCGGAGGAGGCAGGGCTCGGCGAGAGGAGGGCGGGCGGCCCGGGCCCCGCCGCCCCTGCCGGCGGGCTGAAGGCGGCCTGCGGCAGGCTGCGGCCATCGCGGGTCTCGCCGCCCCCGTGCGCCCCTCGGAGGACGGAGGGGTGGGGGCAGAGGAGGCGGAGGAAGCGGCGGCGGCGCCAGGAACAGGGAGGCGGCGGCGGCAGCGGCACGGCGAGGGAGGGAGCCGGAGCCCGAGCCGGAGCCGGGCCGGGCCTCGCCGGAGCAACAGCAGCGCCAGCTCCTCCTCCTCCTCCTCCTCCGGCTCGGTGAGTCCCGCTCCGCCGCCCGGGGGGCTGCTCGCCGCCCAGCCCGGATGCCGGCGCAGGCCGGGCCGCGCCGCCGAGGTGCCCGGGGAAGGAGAGGCCCGCGCCGGGAGCGGGGCACCGCGGCCTCCGCTGGGTGAGCGTCCCCGGGCAGCGGGCGCGCCGAGCCCGGCCGCCCCCTCCTCCCTCCCTCCCTCCCTCCCGCCCCGTCCCGTCCCGTGGTGGCCGCGGGGGTCCAGCCGGTGATGGGCCCGGCGCGGGGCTCGGCTCGCCCGCCCGGCTCCGGCCTCTCCTCTCCTCTGCTCTCCTCTCCCTTTGTTTGCGCCGCTCCCCGAGCCCGCGGCGCCGCCAGGCCCTGCGGAGGCAGCGGGGCTGCGGCGCGGCCTGCACGGCTGGGGGCAGCGCCCCGGCGGGGGGCTCAGCCCCGGCCTCGGCCCCCAGCCGCTGCCCGCAGCCCCGCTTTGGGGCCAGGCTGGGTGAGGCTGCGTCCTCCCCGCCCTCGGGTTTGGGGTCCCCGTCCTGGGCAGGGCGGGTGGCCAGAGGGGGCATTTTGTGCCCCTGCCGCGGGGGCTTGCGCTCTGGAGGAGCTGTGGGGAAGGTGAAGCTGTGAATGTCATGTTATTGTTAGCCGAGGGTACGCCAAGGGCTCCTGAAGGGGCGGGAGGAGCGTTGCTCTCTGACAGGCAGCACTTAAAAGCTTAAAAAACTTAACACTTTTTGTTTGTTTGTTTGTTTGTTTTAAACATCAGCAACCAAAACCCCCAAAACTTTCCTGGCTTTTCCTGGCTTTCATTGTTCTTCACACTGCCTCTTGCGTTCTCTTTCCCCAGTGGTGCCACTTCTGTCAGAAACAACTGGTTCTGGCCCATGCCCACTCATGTGCCTGAGAAAAGCGCCTTTCCGAAACACTGAAGTTTAGGAGATGCAGAGAATGTTGCTGTGATGTGAGATGCATTGACCACGACTTTCTTTTTCCTTGGTTCTTTCATCTTTTTTCCCTGTGTTTTCAAAATCGCATTCACTTGGAAGGTGGTGTGTTCCAGTAGAGAATGTTACTTTGTCAAAGGAGGAGGCACTGGCAGTAGGACGCACTTCAGATAGGGAAAGTGCCACTTCCAGTTATGAAATCCTTGGGCCCTTTCACGATTAGGTCTCTTTCCTACCTGCCAGTAATGCTTACGCCACGTCCAACCTCTTGATACACCTGTAGTTAAAAATACCTGCTGCAGGCCTCCTTTCTTAGAGAGCTACAGGAGTACTTGAGGTATAATGCGTCTGCATTTCTGCCGTGGGTAGAAAAAATAGCGTTATTTTGTTTCACGTTAATAATCCTGTCCTTGGATTGTAGAAAATGTGGAAGCTTCAGTGTAGCTATGGGATAAATTACTCTAGCTGGGCCAGAAGACTTAAACCACAGGAGAATATCTAGGTATTTTTGGAGTCTTCTGCAGCAAGACAGTAAATGTAGCTCACACTTTTCTATGTAACTTACCAAGGCCAATTTCAGTGTTTTCAAGTGCTTACTTTCACGTAGAGAATCTTTAATGGAGTTTTCATTTCCCATTGTATATTTCTTGGTATTATGGCATCACACGATGGAACTGAGCTTTTACTTAAAGCAGGTTCACTTGTTGTGTATGTATTCAGCACCTATTCCCTATAATCCTGCCTTATGACATTGAAACAGACATATTTTCCCCACCCCCAATTAAAATTCAATGAAACTAAGCCTTGAAATTAATTACGAGCGATCACAGTGTAGTGTTATGTAGAGATATCTGCGTTTGCTAACTTGCAAGGCTGTGGAGTAGTAGGGAAGAAGCACTGTATTGTTTCCAGAGCTTTTGTGAGTGTCTTCATTGTGCTGCATTTGTGCAGCATCAAAGTGTTCTTACGGTTTCAGGAAAATACTGCATAATTCAAAAAGTTGACATTATGAAGTCAGAAAAAAAAACCAACCACGTTAATTTATATCATGCTGTTAGTTTATTTATTCTGACATTGTGAAGTTGGTCAATCAGATACCTTGGGTTACTCCTAGAGAAGGAAGTTTTGACAAAATAATAACTTGGTCCACATTGTTCTGCAGGTGGATTACACATCCTAGCTCTGGCTAGCATGGTGGAGTGCGAGAGTGAACTCTTAATCAGGACTTCTGGAGAAGAAAGTTAATTCTTTGTGCTATTATGAAGACTTACGTTCACACAGTAACTTGCACATCCCTGTTTGAAAAAGTTTTCCTAGTAGTGTTGCCTTGAGTTGACTACATATTTGCTACATATTTGCTGCATCACTTCTAGCAAAACTGAGGCCACAGTCCAGAGTAATTCCTTACTCCCGTGCCTGATTTGCTGTACTTCCTTCCTAGGCCTACACTGTGCTATTTTGGTAGCATTTGGGTAGTGCAGTGTTGTAGGGAGGTGAGTGATAACATAAAGTAGATGGAAAAGAGACTGGTCTTAGCTGGTGTGTCCCAGCTTTCTCTTGGTAGTGCTCTAATGTGTATTAGCAACAACCAGAGAAGCTTGTGATGCTTCAAGGAGGCAAATATAGTATTAGGAGTATGAAAGTAGACATAATGCAACTTGGGAGTGCAAATACTAAAGTGTATTGAGTAGAAAGTGGGCAGGATGGGGATTAAAAAGGAGAATAGAGAGTTCATATGCAATTTAACTCTATATTTCTCTAAAGTGTTCAAAGAAGTACAGAACTTGGGGTTTGCTTTCTATTATTTTTTTTAGTGAAAAAGCAATATCTGGCAATGTACCTAGTCTTTGTATTTCTGCCAAAATTTAATTTCATTCCATTTTAATATATGCTTATTTTCTGGAAATACTAGTCTTCAGAAAACAATAGATGTACAGATGCAGAGCTCCCAGGTTCTTATGAACGCCTCTTGTGAGACGCTTCTATGATTCCTAGAGGCTTTCTAGCAAAATAAAAGAGTCTTGAAATTTTTCTGTGAAAATTTCAGATGGCGAGATGCATACAGTAGTGTGTTTTTTTTTTTTAGAAAAACAAGAAGATTGTGCTTGTAATGGAATATTCCTTGTCCATGTTTAAAAGGCAGCTTCATACCACTTAAATATTCTTCTGGTACAACAGGGTGTAAAGACAGGTGATTCACGGTAGATTCCTTCTGCTATCGATATTTCTGCATTTTTGTTTAGAAATAATTGGATTACAAATTAAAACATGAGCATGTACTAACAGAAATTTGTAGAAATTCATTTTAAAACAATTAGTTTTGCAACAAATATTTAAAATGCTGTAACTTTGCATTTCTTTAGTGTTGCAGCTTTTTGTTTCTTCCAGTAGCTTACTAATATACTAAAACAAAAACGGCTCACCCATGTTACCGTCTCCTGGTGGTTAAAACCAAAACCAAAACCTCAAGAAACCGGCCTTGAATTATTGCCCTGGATGAAAATGGGAAGCTAATAGTCTGTGAGATGTTGTCTAGTAGATCAAATATGTAAAGAAAGTTGCACAAATGTTGCTAGAGTCTACATAGACTGACATTAAAAAGGCAACGAGGCAGAATCTGATTTAGACTTCCTATTGTGAGAATTAAAATTTTCAGATCAGAGTTAGAAATTTAGCTTTCCGACTTCTTAAATTGGCTTAAATAAAAGCTATTCCAGATTTTTTTCTTCTACCAGTCTTCATGGTCTTCTGACTCTTCTGTCATGTATGGGCATGCAAACAATAAGCATCTGCAGCTCCAGATAATTTTAGCAAGGTTTTAGGTGTATGGCTTTGTAAATCTGACTGCTGTTTGTTAAAGGCTGTAATAGAGTTTTCAAGGACCTATCTTTACTATTAGGACTTTATTTTTTCTTGTTTTTTCTTTTTTAAAATAAACTATTATTTGTCATTATTTATTTATTTTTCTGGAAAATATCGAGATAAAATACTTAGAAATGATTTGCCCTTTTCAGTGTCCTTAATCATTCACGTAACACTTTGAATCCTCAGGAACTCTGCTTCATTTATGAAAAGGATGTAAGCCACGTTACCTAAGAAATTGTTCCTGGGTTGCTACATTGCCAAGAAAAGTATGTAAGTTAAACATAAATCTTTGTTTAGTGAGGATGCAAGCATATTAGCTCTGTCATTGTTCCTCTGACTTTAAAACTCCATTGAAAGAGTATGAAAAATAATCTTCATGTTTGCAGTTAATCCCAACCTGAAGATGTCATATGTAGGTATCCAGGTGCTGCTCTCCAAACATTGCTTCCTATTGTGTATACATGTATATAGGGCACACAGAGCACATGAACTTTCTGGTCTTCTGATGAAACAGTCATTTATTTTGTGATTTGCCAAGTGCAGTAGGTTGGCAGTTCTAGAAAATCTTAGATTTGTAAAGTATGTGGGCTTTTTGTTATAAACACCAAATAATTTTGCTGTAAACTGCTGTAAAAGTTTTTGGATAAGAGCCATTTTCTCTGGCAGTGAAGGTATAAATAGATGTTACAGTGTTGTTTTCTTTTCATAGCTCATTAAGTGGTCTCTAGTTTAAAAAAAAAAGTTAAACAATGAAAATGAACCTCTGAGTATTGTTAGGTAAACCATACGGATATGTGGTATTTTTCTTTGCTTTCCAAAGCACTATTTAATCAGCAGTTGTATTTGTATTATTTAGCTTGCACGGTATGAGATACAGATCTGTAAGAGGACTTGTGTAAGGTTTTAATGGTCTCGAGATAATGTGGTGAACACAGCTAGCAGATAAATTGATGAGTGTCAGGATTTGAGACCACAGAGTTAATACCTTGGTTATTGTTCCTCAAGGATATTAGGTATTATTTAAAGCAATACATAGTTTGTTTCTCTTGATGACAAAATTGTTGGAAATGAGATTCTAGTCAGGCTTGGTTTTGCAGTGTGTGATCTCTGTTTTTCTTGAGTAGTTTTATTCTTAATTAATCCTGACGTTCTGTGGTAAATGTGCTAAAACAGCAGTTTGTAGGAGTCTTGAGTAGGTGACTTTTTTTTTTTCTTCTCTAAAACAGTCTGTATTCCTCAAATAAGTTGAGAATAAATTACTAGGCTACTCCAAACGTTTCCAAATTGTGCTTGTTTGATCCCGAGCTGTGTCTGATAGAGTGGTCAAGCTTGCTTTCCTTTTTGTTCCTTCCGATTTAGGGAATCCCCAGACTTTGCCTTGGTAAGTGCTATAAGACCTGGGCGGATAAAAGCTGTTAGTGTTAACTGTGTTTCTGGCATTAATAATGGGTTTGAATACTCTCAAAATCCTTTACATTCTCTTTTGGTTGGTAATTAGGTATCAGATTAGGAGGTTTATTAACCGAAATAAAGAAATGGAGACTGGTAGCATCGGGTAGAAGGTTTTTGATTACAGAAAGTGTGCCTTCCAGGGTGAGATTTGTAGAAGCTGTATGCCAAAAACAGGATAGGCAGCTTTTTCAGGATGACACTCGTCTTTCAGGCACTGGTGAGAACTCTGTGACTGAGGAATTCTCACTGGATTCACTGAACAGAAGCTGTTTGTGCAAGCATATTGGTTTTGATGAAACTTGTACTTGGAAAGGCTTCCAGGCTGGAATTTTGGTCAGCCCAAGGAGACTGATTCCAGAATAGTTGGTTTGTGCATTCAGACGTACAAGTCTAGGTTTTATGTAAGATCTCAGGTCTGGGTCTGTGTAAGGTAGGAGCCTCATGGCATTTCCCCCCCCCCCCCTCCTTTTCCCTGTTCTCTGTTTGGTGGAAAAGAGGCAAGAACCAAATCTCATCCAGTGCTTTCTGAAACTTTGACTTTTCTCCTCTTCTTCGCTTTTGAAAAGAAGAGAGCTTTTGGCTAATAATAAGTAATGCTGAGAAGTAATAAGGGATTAACCATTGACCTTTGGCATGATTTTGTGCAAAAAACCCTAGCTTCTTGGGGGAAAACTTAAACGCAAATGTAATTATTCTTCAGTCCCTTGCTGAAGGGTTAAAAGAGCCTGTGCTGACCAATGTATTAGCCTTATTTGCAATTTAATCCAGTGATGGTAGAACAAGGTGAAGGGGAGCTATGTCAGTACTGAATCAGATGCTTTATATATCCCCAAAAAACAAGTGCTTTTTGGAATCTGCTGTATTTTAAATGGTTTGACATGGAAAACAGGAACAGAAAGTGTGTGTATGAACATTGAAAAGTGTGTGCCTATTCTCATGTTTTTTAATTGGGTTAATACATTTTTTATAGTGTGTGTAAGTTTAAATTTTTGTCAGAGAGAACAGGAGAAAAAACAGAGTCTGTGTGCATTTATATGTCTGTCTTTTTTTTCATGCTTGAAATTTCAAGCTTAGCAAGCTTTTGCAGCAGGACTCCTATATTCCTGGCTCTGCAGAAATTTGACCTTAGTCTGGAGATAGCTATCTTAAGGGCTTTGAGTTTGTATAAATTTCATGCAGCATGTTACTTCGTATAGACAGTGAAAACTTTATCTTTGATCCCGCACATGAGAATTTATACACCAATGTGAAGTTGCCTGGTATAAGACCCCAATTCTTCAAATGCAAGCTAAGAGTAATGTACAGTGAGCATTCCCACTGAGTTAAATGTCTGCCCACAGTTAATTAATCTTTGCTGGGCTGAGTGTTAATATTGGGAAAATCAGTTTGTTTAGGGCTGTGTGGAAAATTGTTATTTTAAAAAAAAGAAACAATAGCTACCACTGACAAAACAAAATCTTTTTTTAAAAAAAAAGGAACATAAATTCCCCTCCCCTCTGAGCTTTCCAGTGCGCATCATGACAAAACAGTGTCTGTCTAAAAACTTTAACATATGCTTTCTCCATTTGATGTGCTGCTTGGGGTAGCAGGATGTCTCTGTCTGCAGGTGATTAGAGTGTAGGAGGGGAAAAAAAAAAAAAGCAATCCCTGATCTTAATCATGAATAATTAAAAGTTTCTCTAGTTTTGACCCCAAATTAGAGAATTTACATGTAGACCAAGCTTTGTCAGAACGGGTGTAGTCTTGTAAAAAGGTTTTATTCTGGCAAATTGGGACTTCATTAAAAAGATTGCTAAGCAGCCTTCCCCAGGCAGACAAAATTCCATTCCTATTCTGGTCAATGGGCTGGCTGTGCCCTGTTAATGTATGTGGGTTTTGCTGTTGTTCTTTCCAAAAAGCACCCTCTAGACTTAAAAGGATTGTCAATTGTGAAAACCTGTTTAATGTTTCTCCTCCTGTTTTAAGGGAAACAAAGTAGTAAGGTAATTTTATGAGATTATATGGAGATAATAATCTCTGTACAGGTGTGTTTACCCTGTATATTTGACAGTACTTTGAGCACAGCATTTCTACTGTTACCCATATATGGCTAGGGTCTAAACCATAAAAAAGATAATTAGCTTATTCTTTGTTCTTATTGGGCCTTCTGCCAGTGACAATGGGAAAGAAAAAAATTTAAATAAGTTATGCTTTACATTCTCATTTTCCCAAATGTAGCATTTGGATTACTGTCTGCAGTGGATCCTAAGAACTTGGAAAAGCAGTCAGTCCATCGGCAGGAGGTGCCAGGATCAACTTTCTGGTCAATAGATCCAGGTTCTGGGTGTTCCAGGAGCAGCTGCTCACGTCAGGAGGTACCTTGAGTTTCTTGGGGCCCAAGAAACTTTCCTCTGGGGCCCCAACCTGACTGGGATCCCCAGTCACGGAATTACAGAATTGTAGGATATCCAGGTTGGAAGGGACCCACAAGGATCATTGAGTCCAACTCCTGAGTCCCCAAAGGACCACCCAAAAATCAGACAATGTGTCTGAGAGCATTGTACGAATACTTCTTGAACTCTGGCAGGCTCTGTACCATGACCACTTCCCTGGGGAAGTCATCAGTCATCAAACATCAAGAAGGAAGTTTTCTCCTGTTCTCTGTTTCTTTCTGCTGGCTTGTCTGTGAAATAAATCTCACTTTCATTTCATGATCTGGATCTGCCTTATTGACTATGAGACACTCAGCTTCAGTGTCTGATTCTCTTCAGTACTGCTTGTATAAAATTGGTGAGCTTGAGATTAAAAGTGATCCTAGCCTAATCTTCCTGTATGCATTTTAATACAGATACCAACTTTATTTTTTAAGTAAGTAACATGCAGTTAATAAAAGAATCCCAACAGTTTAGAAGTATCATTTTCAAATGTCTTATTAGGGATTTCATCTTTCATAAAGCTTTAAAACTGTCTCAGCGTTGTTTAGCAGTTGACAGGCTAGTTTATGAATCATGGAGAGTCCAAATAAAATGCTGGAGATACTGGAAATAGAATATATGGGAACAAGGGTTACACTAAAAACAATTTGGAATCATAGTAGTGGAAAAGAGAACAGCATTATGAGCCTTCTTCAGTCTTGTTTTCATGTGCTGTACTCTAAGGAACCTGATCATCCATGATCTTTCTCTACGTGGAACATTTTCTGGTCCTGAAGATTCTGAAACTGAATTCAAATCAGTAGTGAAGCTTTACATGTTGTTGTTTTACTTAAGTATAGGTTCACCAGAGCACAGTGGGAAGAACGTGATTAGCTATGTTAAAATAATCTTAGTATTTCAGTGGTTTGATGCTTGAAAGAATGACCGAGCATTTCCTCCCAACGCCTCCAAATTTGATTTTATTTAGAGCTTAAAATGGTTACTGGGTTCCTTAGAAAGGAAGATGTGGGCATTAGAGAGTTTGCGTACTTATTAAATATTATCAGATCTAGTAATTTTATGATAAGCACTCAAATAAGAACAATAACAGGGGAAAATCTTTTGAAGCAAAAGGAATGCTTGGGTTTATTTTGAGATTAATTGTTGAAAGGCAGTTTAAATTTGGTCTTGCTCACCAAAGTTAAGAGATTTTTTCCTCTTGCAGAATATACCAAGTAAGTCCAACCTAATGGATCACTTTCCATATACTGTTAGCATAATTGATTAGTAAAATTGGATTAAAATTAATATTTTTCAACTTTACGAATTAAGTTGCTTCTGTATTGTACTAGCTTGTGGTGACCACAATTTGTAAGCCTCTCAGTGTTTATTACTGCCTTTGTTTCTAAAAATCAAATGCTTTTG